TAGGAGATAATAACACCATCAGCATAATTTCTTAAGATGAAAAGCAATAATTGCACACTATTTTATCACAATTGGGCCAAACTTTTTCAACTTCCAGAAAGTTTTCCCTGTTTAAAAAGACAAATCGAAAACTTCATAACTACAAAATTCAGTTCAGAAAAACAGGGAATTGTTATTCAAATTTTGGTATTAAAAAGGTTTTAATCTGTTAAAAAAATACAATGGGTGTATTGAGACAGGTGGGAAAGAAGGGCTGACAACGGGTGAGTTTAACGTGGTGAGAATATTGTTAGGCAAAGGCAAAAAAAAGACGTGAAGATAAAAGAAGGATTGTAAACCGAAGCCTTTCTGGCCCTGGATGCGGGGTTCAGAATCCCAGCACTAGGGAGGCTAAGCTGGGAAAAGAGTTGGGGGCCAGTCTGGGCCTCTCTACAAACAAACAACAGTACAAGATTCTTTCTTTAAGATAGACAGATGTGCAGTTCTAAAGTATTTATAACACCAAAGAGGTCTTTTTGAAAATTGCTTGTTTATGGAAGCTTCCATAAAATAGACTTACGAACTCCTCATGATTCACCTTTTACTAAAACAATATCAAAAGCGTCAGTGAATGCACTGGTCTTCAAGCTCACCTGTCGCTGTTTTTCAGTTAGCTAGGAAAGAAAGCTAAGAGTGCCAGAGAAATAATGCAGTTGGCAGAGTGCTTGCCTGGCACATACCAAACCCTAGGTTGGAGCCTCAGTAATGGATGTACTGAGTGTGTGGCAAACACTTGTAAACCCAGATGCCTAGAGGGTAAGAGAAAGGCAGTCTTCAATTTGGATGCCAATTGTGGCCATGGCAACTTACCAGCTCTCTGTTCCCTGCAAATCCTTTAATTTTCCAGTCTTCAATTTTCTATTCTGTAACGAGGAGGAAAAGCTCATAACTGGCATTTCTTATCACAGAAAAAAGAAATAGTCAGAGCTCCTTTAGTGCATATATTAGGGCCTTGTGCAATGTGCCAGGTCAGTAGCCCTGAGCTGTCTGAACTTGTGAGGAGTTCTGTCAATGCAGTGTCCTGTTTGTTTGTTTGGTTGGTTGGTTGGTTGGTTGTTTGGTTGGTTGGTTCTTTTTTCAAGACAGGGTTTCTCTGTAGCTTTGGAGCCTGTCCTGGAACTCACTCTGTAGACCAGGCTGGCCCCCAATTCACAGAGATCTTTCTGTCTCTGCCTCCCGAGTGTTAGAGATTAAAGGTGTGAACCACCACCGCCCAGCAATGTGGTGCCTTCTTTTTGTTTTGTCGGTTAGTAGGCTCTTAACAGTTTCAATTTTGAGCAGACTTCTTGCCCCTAAAAACTCAAATCATCCTAGTTTGCCAATTTAAAAAATAATTTTATTGTTTATTGATTGACGTAGGTAGATGTGTGTGTGTATGTGTGTGTATGTGTGTGTGTACGTGTGTGTATGTGTGTGTGTGTGTGTGTGTGTGTGTGTGTGTGTGTGTACACTCATGCTACAGCTTACTTACAATAGTTAGTTCTCCTACTGTGTCAGTCGTGGGGATTGAACTCAGGTTGTCAGATGTGGTGGCAAGTGCCTTTACTTACTGAGCTATCATTCCCCCAAGATTCTTTAAAACCAGCCAGGCAGTGGTGGCGCACGCCTTTAATCCCAGCACTCGGAGGCAGAGGCAGGCGGATCTCTGTGAGCTCAAGACCAGCCTGGTCTACAAGAGCTAGTTCCAGGACAGGCTCCAAAACCACAGAGAAACCCTGTCTCGAAAAAACCAAAAAAAAAAAAAGATTCTTTAAAACCCTTTTGAAGCCTGTCAGGGGTGGCACAGACCTTTAATCCCAGCACTTTGAGAGGTGGAGCAGGTGGATCTCTGAGTTCGAGGCCAGACTGGTCTACAGGATGAGTTCCAGGACAGCCAGGGCTCCACAGAGAAACACTATCTTGAAAAACAAATAAACAAGCAAACAAAATAATAATAAAATAAAAATTTTTGAAAAAATATTTCTCTGTGTGTGAGAGAAAAAGGACTCTATACTAAGAATTTTGTTCTAATTTCAAGATCAGAATTATTTAAAAGAAACATCTGTCTGCTCATCTTCAAACTTTGGGAAATTGCCTTCAAATTCCTTAATCCTCCTTTCTGTTGCAGCCGTTCTGTTCAGTCAGAATTTCAGCACATTCCTGGAGTCCTTCTTTTTGTCCCGCTTCAGTTTCCCAGTGAAATGTTTGAAGCCAACTAAGTTCTCCTAATACAGATCGGCCATAATAGGAATGCCCTGCTGGGCGTGGTGCCAACACTTGGGAAGCTAAGACAGAAGGATAATGGGAAGTCTAAGATCAGCCTGGGCTACATAACAACTACTAAGACTACCGTAGCACGGTGGTTCTCCACCTTCCTAACGCTGCAACCCTTTGTACATTTCTTCATGTTGTGGTAACCACAACCGTACAACTATTTTTATTGCTACTTCATAGCTGTAACTTGCTACTGTTATGAATCGGAATGTAAATATCTGATATGCAGGGTATCCGATGGGCAACTCCTGTGAAAGGATCTGTCAGCACCCCAAAGGGTCACAACCCACAGGCTGAGAATGGCTTAGTAAAACCTGTCCTCTTTTGCTGTTGCTGGTTTTTTATTTATTTATTTTTTCAGAGCTGAGGACCAAATCCAGTGCAAGTGCTCTACCATTGAACTAAATCCTAACCCCAAGATCTGTCTTTAAACAAGGAATCTCAGTGGAATAATATTAATACTTCTTAAAGATGGTGTGTCTCTATACCACCACAGGATGGCTGTGAGCAACAGACGAGAGCTTCAGTTTGTGCTTTATCCTGTATGCCCTTATTTAGTAGGAGAAAAAAAGCAAAAATATGTCCAGATGTAATCTTGTATGAATAAGAGGAAGAGTCCAAATTGCTGCCATTCGTCTTCCCCCACCTTCTGCTGCTGTGAGGAAGAGAATTGCCATGGCTACCAAAACATGCTCTTTCCCCAGGCTTCATCAAGTTCACTTTTTACCACCCTGCGTGATGAACAGTATTGTTCTGTTAAGTGACTTCAATCTCAATCTATTCTGCACATTCCCTCGCTATTCTTCCTCCTTCTCTAAGAGAACACCCTCGACTTTTCTTTAAGACAGGAAATGTCTTGATGTAAATTAAAATAAGAATATAGGGGCTGCCAATTCAGTCTCTGCCTGAAATCTGGCATTTCCTCTGGGCCACTGCAGCTATCACTGACAGTGTATGTCTGATAATCAAAACATGCCAAGGGATGGTGAAATAAAAAGCAGGGCTACGGTAGCTCACAGACACACTCCCATTGTGTGCCCCCGGCTTCTTGAAACACTGTCTTGATCTGTAGATTTCAAGTCATAGTTTAAGACGTTAGATTAAGACAAATTAGTTCTGTTTAGCATTTTTCTTTTAAGTTTTAATTTCCCTTTTTTGTTCTCCTCTTCCACCTTCTTCTTTGGGTTTTAACCCTTGCACACCCCATTTATACAAATAAAACAAGACAAATCTGGGGAAAAAACCATTTTAAAAAGAAAGAAGATGGCCGGGCGGTGGTGGCGCACGCCTTTAATCCCAGCACTCGGGAGGCAGAGACAGGTGGATCTCTGTGAGTTCGAGACCAGCCTGGTCTACAAGAGCTAGTTCCAGGACAGGCTCCAAAACCACAGAGAAACCCTGTCTCGAAAAAAACAAAAAAACAAAAAAACAAACAACAAAAAAAAGAAGAAAGAAAGAAAGAAGATACTATCTAGTGGTTTATTTTCTTACCATTCTTTGTGAAATTCAAGACTAAATTCGACATTTTGGGCATAGACACAAAATCTCCAACTCAAATGGAAGGAAGATAATATTTGTAAATTCCATACCAAGTCATTTTTTTTCTTTTTTAAATTAGGTTTTTCGGGCTGGAGAGATAGCTTAGTGGTTAAGAGTACTGCCTGCTGTTCCAGAGGTTCTGAGTTCAATTCCAGCAACCACATGATGGCTCACAACCATCTGTAGTAAGATCTGGTGCCCTCTTCTGGCCTTCAGAACACTGTATATATAATGAATAAATAAATATTGTTTTTAAAAAAATTAGGTTTTTCAAGACAGGGTTTCTCTGTGTGGCCCTTGTCTGTCCTGGAACTCAGTATGCAGACCAGGCTAGCCTCGAACCTAGAGATCCATCTGTAGATGGATCCATCTGAGATTAAAAGCATGCACCACCATTGCTTGGCTCAAGTCAATGTTTTCAAACCATGAAACCAGAAAGATTGCTGCAAGTTCAAGACCCACGTGGACTTCAGAGCAAGTCCCAGGCCAGCTGGCTTGCTTCTCTGACTTCTTCCTGCCCCCCATGAGGAAAATAAGGAGCAGAAAAAAAAATATGATCAAATAAATTTCCACGGTAACTGGCTTTGGTGGTACACATCTTTAATTCCAGCACTGAGAAGGCAGAGGCAGGTGGATTTCTGTGAGGTCGAGGCCATTCTGGTCTTCATATGGTGTTCTAGGCCAGACACAGGTATGTAGTGAGACCCTGTCTACACTCTGTGCCTTTCTCTAGCCCTTACCTCTAGCTCCTGCTGCTCTGTTCTAATCATGGAAGGACGGGTATCTGCCTTTACTGAGCAGGCTATGAGTCAAGAGCTGAGCTAACTGCCTTTTGAGGATTTCTTCACATGATCATCACAAGGACTTCTATAAGAGTCTGTGTGACTTTGTTTCTGTGTTTGTACACACACGTGTGGGAAGGGTGATGTTGCCCATACAGGCCAGAAGGGAATGCTGGGTTTCTTAGAGGTAGGCATTTGCAAGCTGCCTGATGTTGGTGCTGGAATATTGGACCTTTGGTTATTGCAGGAAGTGCTTTTAACCACACAGTCATCTCTTTAGCCCCATTACAACATTCTACTTTATTTATTTTGGAATTTTCATGATAGGATTTTCTGTATTACGGTCCTGGCTGTCCTAGAACTAGTTCTTGTATCTTTACGCTTCAGATAAGAAGAGTAAAAAGAGTCTTCAAAGAAGCAGGCGGTTGTACAGCATCTCACAGGCAGGAAGGAGTGGAACTGAGGTTTGAAAGTGAGTCGTCAGTCCAGAGCCTAGTGTACTGCCTGGTGTTTAACCTCTGTGCTGAATGCCTTAACACTTGCAAAGCAGGTAAGCCTGAAAAATACTCCTGACCCAACCCTGAACAAAGTCATAAGACTGCGCAAGCGAGGGGACTCATCTCTGGGTGGGGCGATGAAACAGCTGGTCCAGAGGTAGGTGGTGACATTCCTGACTGTGTGCTGCCTTCTCATCCCGAACTGTCCAAGTAAGGCCTGGGAGACAGACAGGAAGACCAGTTTGCAAGTCCTTTTATGAGCAGAACCTGATCTCAACACAGAGGGAACAGAGATCAGATCATTTCATTGCCATTAGACTTAGTTTGGTTTTTTGTTTGTTTGTTGTTTTATTTTAAAGGTAAAAGAAAACCTTTTTCTTCCTTCCTTCCTTCCTTCCTTCCTTCCTTCTTTTCTTTCTTCCTTCCTTCCTTCTTTTCTCCCAACCTCACAGCCTTGAAAGCTGATTAACACATTTAAATGTCTCAAATTAGCTAGCACTCTGTCCAAGACAGATTTTTCAGTGCCAGCTCAACAGGAGTGTTATTGTGAAGGTCACGCTCAGCTCAGCTCAGCTCAGCTTCCTGGTTCTATTGGCTTCCTGAATTAATATCTTTCAAGCTGTCTCCCTCCTCATCGTTCTAACTCTTGCTAAGTCCCCTTCCACTTTCCGATTTCAAGTGTGAGAACTGTCTCTCTAGTTTCATTCAGATATTTTTTTTTTCTAACTCATCTCCCAAACTGCTAACCAGATGATTTTCACAAAAACAAGGATTTAGTATGCCATTCCCTGCTAAAAACATTTTCACTTTCACTGGAGGGGAATCAAATCCAAACCCGGGGGCATGGCATTCAAAGACCTCCTTTATGTTTCCTACTGCTTCCAGCCAGACCAAAGCAAGCCCACTCCTTGTCAGGCACCAAAGACAATATAAAGAAAGCAAGACACTTCTCTAGTGAAGGACAGGGTTAGCCGGAAAGATACAGTCTCATGATTTCAGTTCTGCTACCTATAGCAAACAGAGGCTGTCAGTATAATACCCAACTTCCAGTCTTTTTTTATTCTTTCTTTCTCCCTCTTTCTCCCTCCCCCTTCTTTCCTTCCCTCCCTTCCTCCCTTCTTCCCTCCCTCCCTCCTTCCATCCCCCCTTTCCTTGCTCCCTCTCTCCTCCTCCTTCTCTCCCTCTTCTTCCCTCCCTTCCTTCCCCTCTCTCTCCCTCCTCCCTCCCTTCCTCTCTCTTTTCCTTTCTTCCTTTCTTCTTTTGGCAAGATCTAACAATTCATTAACCCTACCTGGAGCTAGCTGTATATATACCCAGGCTTGCCTTGAACTCACAGTGATCCCCTTTGCCTCTGTAGTGTCAGGATTATAGTGTCAAGCCTTCAGCATGCCAGAGGCCCTAGTTTCTATCCTAAACCCTGGTAACAACAACAAAAAAAATGTTCTTTGCTCCCCTTGGGTAAATAAACAGGGTATTTCATAAAACTTGGCTGTGCCTTGACACCTTCCAAGGGACTGTTTATCCAAAGGGCAGGAGGATGCTCTAGTGGTGCCAAACATCTTGAGTACATTCTAGGGTGTGGGATATAGTTCACGTCTGATAAAATGACCTAAGTCATCCCCACCCCGCCCCACGCATACACATGTGGGCATAGGTACATAACAGAGCACATATACACGTGCTCTCTTTCCCAAAAATCTTTATTCAGCTAAGAAGAAATCCATTGAAAATAGTTTTGTTCTCTGAGTATGGTAGCTCATGATTTTAATCCCAGTTCTCAGAGGGTAGAGGAGGATCAGGAAATCAGGAGTTCGAGTCCAGTCACAGTTACATGAAATCCTGCCTTATCTCAACAGCAATAAAAGTTTGTCGACCATTGACTAAGTATGACCCCTGGCTCAGGGATCTGTGGCTTTAATTAAAGTTTCTCTCATGGTAATAACTTTTTTCTTTCCTTTCTTTTTTTTGGGGGGGGGAGAGGTGTTTTGTTTCATTTTGGTTTGTTTTTCTCTGTGTAACAATCCTGGCTGTCCTGGGACTAGCTTTGTAGACCAAGTTCACTTCGAACTCACAGAGATGCGCCTGCCTCAGACTCCGAGTGAAGGGATTAAAGGTGTGCGCCACTACCAGCCCCACAATAGATTATTTGTTATTTTTCTTTCTCTTTGTTTCTGTTATCCAATCATAGACAAAACATGGTCTTTCTAAGGCCCATGGTTTTATTTGCCTTTTTTTTTTTAAGACAATCTCATTATGTTTCCTAGGCTGGGCTAGAACTCTGTATCTACATAGACCAGGCTTGGCCTTCATCTAACTCACAAAGACCCACTTGGCCCTGCCTTCTAAGTGCTGACATTAAATGCGTACCTTACCATGGCCACCAAAGGTCCATGGTTTTAACAGGATAAGTAGTCTGTTGTTGAGCGTCTTCTTCACAGACAAACGTCAACAGCATTAAATCTTCCCTTGTCAAAGTAGGTTAAAGTCCAAACCCCCTTCAGACTCTGCTAAGTATATATCTTCTCCTCAATGGGTCAGAAAAACCATCCACCTCAGTGTTACAGAATTTAAATCCAACTTCTACACATTCTGTAGCAGGAATCATTGCTGTTAACACAAGGTCTCACATTGTCCAGGCTCCTCTCAAACTCCCAAAGCCCTTTCACCCCCTGAGCACAGAGATGGTGATGACCAGCACCAAGGTTTCCCTCTGCAGCCACACTTGGTCTAATGCCTCATTTAAAAGGTTGCTGACACACGCTCTCACCAGATGGCCTCTCCCCAAAATCACCTGCTTCAAAGGCTATTTGCCACTGAAACTTTCTGACCAAAGTTTTATAGTAAAATTTATTTGTTCAGAAAAGCGTTTCAAACTTCTTCTTTACCATCTATTAAATCCTGAGCTGACCAGAAGCCAGCTTGCTTAGTTCTGTAAATTCCTGCCGACTCCAGAACTGGACAGACGCCTAAGTGTGTGGATACATATCACCCAGGAATGTGATAGCTCGGGCCCCTTCACATTCTCAGGACACCAGACCACGGACGTCAAGGGCGGTTTCTTCAGCTTGGCTCTGTCCCAAGCATTTTCCACACGTTTCTCTCCACGTCTACACTGCAGCTTGGTAGTTATTTTTGTGGCGACTCAAATGTTTTATGATTATAAATATCTTTATTAGTCTTTACTGCGATGAGAATTATTTACTGACCCTCTACCGCCACAAATGGCTTTGGACTAACACCGTAGCTATTTCCTATTTTCAGTCAGGTCTAAAAGCCTCATTTTGGCATTTCCAAATTGAGAAAACCTACATCTCAGTGCAAAGTCACTGTAGCTAAGACCTGGCTGCTTTATAAATGATATTTTCTTTAAATGTGAGTTTGAAGAGCTAACATCTACTTAGTAGCCACCCTCTTTTTTTGTTTCTGCCCAACATAACTCTTTTCTATGCCCAGATCACCTCTGAGACTCAGCCATACCTCCCATCAACTCTCAAAAACACACATATGCATGCGTGTGTATATTTGCCTTGATATACTTAATTTAATTAGAATAAAGGGAAATTTTCTGTTTTCTTTCATAAGTTTTCTCTTTTTTCTTTTATTCACTAAAAATGAGTAGATAAACATAACAGTATGATGGACTATGCAACATAAAGTTTTTGTTTGAAATGGCTCAGCAGTAAAGAACACTGACTTCCCTTCCAGAAGACCTGGGTTCAATTCCTAGCACCCCACACAAGTGGCTCACAGCTGTATGTAAATCCAGTCCCAGGAGACTCAATGCTCACGTTTGCCCTCTACAGGCATTTATATGGTACACATGCAGGCAAAATATCCATACATATAATTTTCTTTTAATTAAAATAATCCTCCTGTCTACATGATCTGATGTCATGCACACAGCCTCATTGTGCTTCATTCTTTCTTTTCTCTTTCTTAAAAAAATATTTATATTTTCATTTATATGTTTATTGTGAGGTGGGTACAACATGACAGGTACGAAGAAATCAGAGGACAATTTTCAAAAACAGGTTCTCTTCTCTCTTTCGCAGGAACTGAACGCAGGTATTCAGGCCTGGCACCAAACACCTTTCCCCATTGATCCATCTTTAAACGATGTATTTATTTATGTCTATGAGAGCTCTGCTTACATGCCTGCATGGCAGAAGAGGGCATCAGATCCCACTTAAATGGTGGTGAGCCACCATGTGGCTGCTGGGAATTGAACACTGAACCTCTGGAAGAGCAGCCAGTGCTTTAAACCGCTGAGCCATCTCTTCAGCCCCACTGATCCATTTTTAAAAAAAAATTCAAATATGTTTTGTGTATTGTTTTACTTGCATGTATGTCTTGAGTATCACATGCAGTAGCTGCAAAGGCCAGAAGAGGGCAGCAGATACTCTGAGGCTGAAGTTAGATAAGGTTGTGCGTCAGATATAGATAGGTACTAGGAAAGGAACTGGGGATTTTTTGGAAGAGGCTAGTGCTCTTAGCCACTGGGCCATTTCTCCACACACACTGATGCATCTTGCTAACTCCCTTCCCTCTGTTCTTATTGCTCAGTTTTTTCATCATTATCTTTAAGATTAAATTATGTCTATCTTTCTATTTCTATCTATCTGTCTGTCTGTCTGTCTGTCTGTCTGTCTGTCTGTCTGTCCGTCCGTCCGTCCATCCTGTGCTTGTGTGAGAGCATGTACCACAGAACACTGGTGGATCAAGGACAACTTTTAGAAGACAATTCTCTCCTTTCACCGTGTGGGTCCTGCATTTCAAACTTATCATCAGGCTTGGCAGCAAGCAAGCCCCTTAACCTGCTAAGCCATCTTGCCTGCCCACTTACAGCTTCTTCTTCTTCTTTTTTTTTTTTTTTGGTTTTGTCTTATTTTTTGTTTTTTGATACAGGGTTTCTCTATGGAGCCCTGACTGTCCTGGAACTCACTCTGTTCCAGGTCAAGGCTGACCTTGAACTCACAGAGTTCTGCCTGCCTCTGCTTAACCAAGTGCTGGGATTGAAGGCGTGTGCCACCACTGTCTGGCTAATTTTTTGTCATAATTATAGAAAATAATCCACATTAATTCAACGCAAAGGAATTTCAATGGAATAAAAATTTAAATGCATTATACAAGAAATTGATGTGAAAATTATATGGTCATAATGAAGTTTACTCTTAAAGATACCTTTTATTCGGGGTGGTGGCTTATACCAATCTCCTAGCATTTGGAAGGCAGAGGCAGAAGCGTTGTTGTGAGGACTAAGCCAGCCTAGACTATACAGTGAGATGCAAGCCCACAGATAAGGCCTACAGAGTGCTAGCCTGTCTCACAAACCAAAACAAGGGAAAAAACAAAACAAAACAAAAAATACCCAAAGCCAAATACAGCAGAAGTAAAGATATCTTCCAGCTGAAAAGCCAGCTCTGTTGATAACTGATTAGGAGCATTCCCGTCATCTTCAGGGCTGGGGCCGAACCTTGCTGTAAAGTGTCTGCTTGGCATGCTGAAGGCTTCTAATTAAATACTAACACCAGCTAAAAACAAAATTCTGGGCATAAAATATTTGGTCAAAATCTTCACTTCTTACTAGCGTCATGGAAGTAGAATCATCCAGAAAGCTGTTGTTTTGGGGTTAGCAGTCAGGGCTGCAATCACAGACCCGGAACTTTCCACTGCCTAAGTACCAATCTGCTTTCCTCCGCATCTGATGGAAAATAACGCATACGGGGAGCCTAACAAATGCTTGCTGAATGTCAAGATTCTCCTAATGCACTGTAATGCTCTGTAAGTATTGGGGACGGGGGACTTGACCTATGGAGTGGATCATTTTAACTTAACAATTACTGAATCACAAATGAACTCTCAAAAGCTTTGAGAGCAGAAGCAGGGAAACGGGGACATGGCCATCTTTGGTATAAACACAAGCCTGAAAAATAAGCCCCGGTACAGTCATAAAATGAAGGACTTTTGTGTTTAGATTCTTTATTCATCAAACCTAATTCCTCTTTAAGCTTTTTTTTTCCATTAAAATTTGCTTTTACAGCTCTCTCCATCTGCAAGGCCATCATGGAAGTCTCAAAGGAAGCATTATTTGAGGAATTTGAGAACTATTCCTATACCTTAGAATACTACTCGCAGGAGTCTGCTTCAGAGGAGGAGACGCATCTGAAAATTGTTCACTGGGTCTCTCTGCTGTTGTGTGTCCTAGCATTTGTTCTGGGGATTCCAGGAAATGCTGTTGTCATTTGGCTCATGGGATTTAGGTGGAAGAAGACAGTCACTACTCTCTGGTTCCTCAGTCTGGCCATTGCAGACTTCATTTTCCTTCTCTTCCTGCCCCTGTACGTCTCCTATGTGGCCTTGGGTTTCCACTGGCCTTTTGGCCTGTGGCTCTGCAAGGCTAATTCCTTCATTGCCCAGCTGAACATGTTTTCCAGTGTTTTCTTCCTGACAGTGATCAGCCTGGACCACTATTTCCGCTTGATCCATCCTGTCTCATCTCAGCGGCACCGAACGCTAAAGAACTCACTGGTTGTTGTTCTATCTGTCTGGCTTTTGGCTTCTCTGCTTGGAGGTCCTAGCCTGTACTTCCGCGACACTCTGGAAGTCAATAACCACATTATTTGTTATAACAATTTCCAGGAGCATGGCCATGACCTCACCTTGATGAGACACCATGTTCTGACCTGGGTGAAATTCCTTTTTGGCTACCTTTTCCCTCTGCTGACAATGAGCTTCTGCTATTTGTGTCTCATCTTCAAGGTGAAGAAGCGAAGCCTCCCCATGTCCCGTAAGCATTTCTGGACAGTCCTTTCTGTAGTCATTGCCTTCATGGTCTGCTGGACTCCTTATCACCTCTTTAGTCTTTGGGAACTCACCATCCACCACGACAGCTCTTTCCAGCACGTGCTGCAGCAGGCAGTCCCTCTCTCTACTGGCTTGGCGTTCCTCAATAGTTGCCTGAACCCCATCCTTTACGTTCTGATTACCAAGAAGTTTCAAGCTCACTTCCGGGCCTCTGTTGCTGAGGTACTGAAGCATTCGTTGTGGGAAGTCAACGGCCCTGCCACAGCCAGTGAACAGCTCAATAGCTGTCTTCCCTAGAAACAGACCGTGTTCCCAGAAACCAGCATGGATTCTTCACGTGAACCTCATAAAAATTCGTTTCAGATGAACCTTCGTTCTGATCTAAACCGACCATATTTTTGTTGTTTTTGTTCAGTGTATTGGCCTTATATTTTTGCGTGGGTATAAAATGTAGATTTCTTCTTCCTTGCAATTTAAATGATGCCGCTGTCTGGCTGCCCTCTGGTGGCGACTGTGATATTAACAACCTAAATCTTCCCCCCCCCCCACTGTTTTAGCCTGTGTCTATTGATGTACCGCAATATATCTATCCGATTAAATAAATCGTTTTTATAATGCATACCACATTATATTAATTATAGCAACTTTCATCTTGAAAAGGCATCAGCCTCGTTTTTGGTTTCCTTTTGGGTCATTTTGTGTGTGCACACCTTGCTTGTTGCTCCTTGCTTGCCTACGATGGCTGATGGCTAGCCAGCAAGTCCCAGAGATCTGCCCATCTCCACCTCCACAGCCCTACACTGAGTGCCTGCTACCACGTCAGGCTTTTTCTAATGTGTGTTTATCTAAAGGCTTCCTTGAATGCACTTGACCAACTAGGGTGTCTCCCCCGCTCCCTGATCTTCACCTTTTCAGTTACTAAAAGAGAAAATTAACAAAAAATTTTTTTTCTGGGACAGTTTCACTATGTAGTCTAGGTTGGCCTCAAGCTCCAATAAACAAATTGAATACAAATATATTTTAATAGTATAATACATATATATATTCAACTTTTTAATAATTTACAAATTAAGGTATTAGTTGGTTATGTTCGCTTAAAACTTTCATTTCTGTTAACTGTTTATTTGCTAAGTTGACCCAAAATCTAATTACTTAAGTAATTTATTGTTAGCATAGTTCAATTTTGAGGTTCTGGAACCTCAGGTAAATAACGATGCAACTGGTCTAGCTTGGGATAGTTGGCACATTTTATGACTGTGCCAGGGCTTATTTTTCAGTCCATCAACTGTCCTTTCTCTCACTTCTGTCCCTTGACTCTGTCCAGAGTGGTCATACTTCTCAGTTCCAAAGGTGCAAGCGGCAAGCGCTCCACGGAGCTGCATCCTCAGGCCTATTTACTGAGGGTTACAAATGCCACTCCTACAGCCTTGTTTCAAAGGGAGGGGGACAGACCTCTTGCTTCTTGACAAAACATGTCTACAATTTTCTGTTTATTTTTAGTTCTTTAGAGCATCATGAAATTTGAGAAATCTGGTTGTGTGCAAGTGTGTAGATTAGTTACTATAAACACATTCCGGGGTGGGCTGGCCCGAACGCAGAACTACTTCAAAGCGCAGGCTTTGTTCTTTGGTTTACGTGGACACCAGTATAAGCTAAATAAGATACCTTTATGCCTGTGTTCGTCAGCGTTTTCAAGCACTATGGATCCCCAGAAGGGCAGGTGCTGCCCTCTGTCGGCTCTCGTGGTTCTGGAATAAACCTCTGCCGGCTCCCGTGGCTGACACTGCCCTCTGCCGGCTCTCGTGGTTCTGGAATAAACCTCTGCCGGCTCCCATGGCTGACACTGCCCTCTGCTGGCCCTTATGATCCTAACAAATTTGAAAAAATTTTCCCACTATTTCAGGTTGCACCTGAATTTTCCTCAGTGCGTATTTTATTAAATAAATCTTTACAATATGCAGCTTGCGTCACTAAACCAAGAGCAAGAGTAGGGTCAGGCTATGTGACATAACCCTAGGTTAATTTTTCTGGATCCCCATCTACAAAATACAGAAAGCTTTAAAGATACAACATCCAAACTGTAAAAACTACATCTGGTATTTAACATGAAGCCAAAATAGCTGATTTGTTACAATGGTATCCTTTCGGGGCAGTAGAATCACTGGCAGTAGCTTTTAGCATATTGCCCACCTCAGCCACCATTTGCTTACAGCGTCAAGGGAAAACACCCCACACTCAACAACCTCATAAACCTACACAAGACCATGGGAGTGTGGGAGGCCTGGGAACTAGTTAACCTACACAGTACTCCTATCAAGACATAATGCTAACACACTATACTTTTTTTTTTCTGGATACAGGGTTTCTCTTGTGTAGCTGTCCTGGAACTCTGTAGACCTGCCCGTGTCTGAAACTAAAGGCATGTACCACCCAGTCAGACTACATTTCTAACAAAAGGTTCACCCTCTGTAGCTCAGCACATTATATAATTCCTAACATTTAGAAATGGCTGTGATTGTATGACTTACCTCCTCAGATACAGCAGCAATGTAACGCTTGTGGGGGAGCGGAAGAAATTGGGCACTAATACCTACACTACATAGTAGTTAACTATGGGCCTAGGGGACCCAGCACCAGGCACTCGTGTGGTGCACACACATATGTACTCTACCCCCCCCCCCCCACCTAGACTCTAGGGACTGAAAACCCAGGTGATAAACATCTTACTGGCCCAAGATTCAGTTTTTCAAAAAAATTAATCTTGATGTCTGGCCAAAATAGACCATATCCACCAGTACCATGTTACTGTCAGTAACAGAGCTGTATTACCAATGGCTACAAAATTATAATCGCCAAACAATAACACTACATGTTTTTTTTTTAAAAATGTTGTATGTAGTCATGTAGTACATAAAACACACGTTGGGAGTCAGTCTCCTTTCACCATGTGGGCCAGGCTGGTCATCAGGCTTGACCTGCTGCTGAGTGACTCACCCATCTTCCCGGCCCCCAGTTTTTATTACTGAAGCCTTCCCTTTAATGAAAGCATATACCATTTCTCATAACAGAATCAAGAGCCCAGGGTTTTTTCTAGCTTTTATTCAAGTGCACTGACTTGACGATGATTTTAGATTTTGTTAAAAGCAGCCACATCCATGGATTGTACGTAGTCCTCAAAAGCAGTAATCTGCTCCTCCAGCATATCTGTTCCAACCTTATCATCTTCAACTACACACTGTATTTGAAGCTTTTTAATTCCGTATCCCACTGGAACCAATTTGGCTACAAAAGAACATAAAGGGAAGAGTTAGGAAACTCTTATTGATGGAAAAACAATGAAAATGTATATAAATTCCAACTTCAAAACACCACCATTAAACTTACAAGAGCCCCAGACCAAGCCGTCTGCCTGAATGCTTCTGACACACTCCTCCAACTTGGCCATGTCTGTCTCATCGTCCCAGGGCTTCACATCCAGTAAGATGGAAGACTTGGCAACAACCGCAGGCTCTGGAAAAGAGTTAAAAATGCATTACCCTTACTCAACTGAACACCTTTGCTCTAGGTCAAATCTCAATGTTTCAAAACAGACCATCTTCTTACGGAAAAACACACAAAACCCACCTGTCTGTCACGCGCATGCCTCTTTCTGTGTGGCTAAGAAAGAGGCATGAAACTGTGTGACAGTTTCTATCCCACAGAGGAATGCTACAGCTGCCACCGTAAGGTCAGCTGCAGACCAGTAGCTGTGGACCTCGTATAAGCAAAGATGTCTACTGAAGACTAAAACCACGTTAGGGTCAAGCTCTGGAACAGACCACTCGCACTATTACTTAACAAGGAAGACACACGACTGTAGAATCACCTACTTTTAGCTTTCTTTGATTCGTACTGTGCAAGGCGCTCTTCTCGGAGCCTCTTTGCTTCTTCGCTTTCCTGTATGGAGAAAAAAATCCACGAAGTTGGTTATCTTCTGCTGATACAGTGTGATGACAGGGCCATTACAGAAATGACCAGGTTCATCAGTAAAAAGCAAATCCATCAGGAGTTCAGCCGAAAGATGGTGATTTGGTTTTATTCATCATGTACCCAGTGAGGGTTCAAATTCAGGCCCTGATACAGGACCTACATTTATGCCTTATCAATATACTCAGAGATGTCAGCCATACCTCCTCGTCATCTGACCCAAAGAGATCAATGTCGTCGTCGTCTTTGACATCCGCAGCTGCACTTCCTGTGGTGTCTTCCACACTGGCAGGGCCATACTTGCCCAAAGATTTCTTCACTCCTGGCAGACTTGAAAACAAACATCCTACCACGGTTAGGTCGGTGCCACACCTCTTTCCTTTACTAGACAAAACATAAAGTCTTTCTTTCCCAGTACCAATCTGTTCTGGTTATTGACGCTTTAGCACAGCCCCAGGTAAAAATATTACGTGTGCCCGACTCTTCAGTCAACCAACCCTAGTACTACAGGAGACAATGTACTCAATACTCACTATGGCTTAACTCTTTCAGAACGAACATCTCTGAGCTTCCATTACGATTTCTTAGTTAACTGGAGTATACTCCCCAAACTCTCCATCCGTGCTGGTAGTGTCAGAAGGCCAGGGACTGAATGAGCTACCCTCTCACCCCAGCGATGGCCCCCCCTCCCAGTTCGAAGCACACTGGCAGGGAGGTGTGGAGTAAACTTTGACTGCTGTTGTCCATGTTCTACCTGTCCTATGAGGAAATGCAGGGCTTCAGTCTCTTGGTCTTCTAAGGTTACCAAGAAATTCAGCTTACACCAGCCCAACAACGCTAATGCCACTAGAACCTGGACCCGACTTTGCCATGAGAGAGTCCGGGTGGTGCAAAGGCATTTTTATTTTTACCTGGCTTTCTCTTTCTCGTAAGACTTGATGTGATTATACCAGCGCAGGGCATGGAACAGGTCGGCGGGCGGTGGGCCAGAGACTGCTTCAAAGACCGCCACATCGGCTTGTGATGGCACATACCTGCCGGTGACAAAGACACGTGCACACACCTTTCAAAGGAAGACACAACATACGACACGAGGTGTGACCAACTCTGCATCCGTCCAACCGGCTAGTGGCGACTATTAAGGGGCTAACAAGTCGCTTCTTCAGTCGCTTTTCATTTTAAGTGCACCAAACATCTGTCTGAGCCTGTGCAAGCTAAGAGCGGCTGCACCATCCTCCCATCAGCCCACCCGCCCGGGAGCCCGGGCGCCCCGCTTCCCTCCCGCCGCGCCCGCGCCACGTGGCCCCGGCCTCCCGGCTCACCCCTCGATGTAGCTCTTGTCCGCCAGGTAGTCGTTGAGCACCTGGAGGCCGGCGGGGGTTCTGAGGTCTCCGAAGCCCATGGCGTCGGCTGTAACCGGAGGCCCGCAGCGGCGGAGGGACAGAGCGCCAGGAGCCTGCGGCCGGCGCTGAGGGAGAAAAGGGCCCGGGCCGGCCGGAAAAGTCCTTATATAGAGACGGAGGCGTTCCCCCTCCGCGGCACCGGCTAGAGGTGAAAGGTCAAAGTGCGTCACTCGTCCCGCTCCT